GGCACAATTCAAACAATACTTGAATTTGGCGTGACCACTTTTTCCTTTAAAAAAGTACAAAATCGGGAGACAAACCGATTCTGTACCTGTAGAAGAAAAGAAGGCACAGAGCAACAAGGAGTTTAAAGTGCAGGAAGATTGGTTGTCACCTGGATTTGATAATACTACTACTACACTGTCCAATATCAATTTGTCCACCTATTTTTTCGTTCAAGATCATTTTCAGACTCATCAAATAAACATTTTCTATAACTTTGACTAATTTCTGGAATATTCATACAGAAAATTTCTGAATAATAAAAAGGCAAGACGAAACTGTACGAAATCTGTCGAAAAGACAAACTTTTCGAAAATCTGTTTGTTTTTTCTATTAACTCTGTTCTTTTTGTACATAAAATTTGAGAAATTCCGGTTTTCAGAAATAAAAAAAAATTCTTCAAATTTCTACCGTCTTATATGAATATCTCACAACAGAATTCAAAATTTAAAGTTGAATCTAAACATTAACGTCTTCCTTCTTTCTTTTTTTTTCTAAAAAAAAAAAAACAATTTCATCCCACTAAGTTCAAGAAAGCGCCAGATCGTCTTCTTCTACCAAACTTTAATCTTCTTTATCCCATTTTTCGGAAATCGGTAGCTAGTTGTAAGTTCGGCTCTCTTTTTTTGCCAGTTCCTGATGACATTATAGCCGAAATCAAGAAAATTATTCTAACTTTTTTTCCTCTTGAAACTTTGTTCTCCTAGTACTTTTCAAACCCTATGTTTTCACCTTAGGTCCCCTTCAAAACATAACATTGTTAACAAGTTCTTATTGAAATCCTAAGATCTCGAGCACAAAATTTAAAAAATCGAATAAAATCAAATAGATCTTCTGCTGCCAATGGACGATGAACTTCGTTCCGAAAATCCCTCCATATCTCAAAATATCTCTCTGCTCTCGCCATATCAGACAATCGGAACACACTGTTCTCATTCTCCGTAGAACCAATCGAACTGTTGTGGCTGTTGTTGGTTACTGTCAATGGAGTCTCTTCTTTTGGTGGCTGTTTTTTCTCAATCTCAAAAAAGCTTTGAATGCAGGTTAGGATGAGAAGAAGAACTGAAATTTATATTAGTGGTTAAATAAAGTTCAAAGATGTTTGAACATACTTGAAAAGTAAACCAACTCGAACACGATCCATAACCCCATTCCGGCGATTCCAATGAACAAGAACAACTCAGCGGCATCGATGACCTGGAAAAACGAATTTATCACAAGTTTATTCCAGTAAGAAACCCACCATGTTTCCGCATGCAAAGAAAAGAAAACATCCATATCCACTGACAAAACCAGCAAAGGCATACAAAGGGATAAGGAGCAAGATACCAGTGACACCGAGATAGATGGCGATACATGCTTCCTGAGAGCCCTGGCCGTAGTTCGACTGGACATAGGCGATTGTGAACAGCTTTGAGAGTATCAAACAGCCAATGAAAATCATAGTCACGATTTTTTTCGCGACTAGCTTCAAGCTGCGTAACTCTCGAGCCATCAAATCTCCTTCTTCAGAATTCGAGGGCAGCATTGGCCGCCCTCGAGTATGGTGACGACTTCGACCCTAGGTACACTTTTATACTTGTAAAGACCCATAAAACGTGCCGACTCCGAGAATGAATTAAACTGATTAGGTTCTGAAGTCAATGGTAAAAAAGTTCTGCGGCATCGCGTGTTGAACAATGGAGGTCCCGCCTTCTCTCAGTTTGATTAGTCTGGAATTTTGGTATTCTTAATCTAGAAATCACAGGAATGGGTCTTGACCGATATTCAGACAGCGAGATGGGTAATATTGGCCTCTGAGTTGAGACTGTTGTGAGTGGGAAAAATATCAAAAGGTACTTCAATCATTGAAGTTCAATATATACTTGTAATCCAAGCCATGGCGGGCCTTCGCTGGGCCCGTCATAGTTTCTTTTAAAATCAAATTTTTTGCACTAACTTGATGATATGTATAACTCGCACTACGCACTACGAAACGATACCATTTGGATTACTGTTTCTTGTCTACGAACAAAGTCATGCGGCTAATCTGAGCATGGTAACGCTTGTTTTTTTCCGCCCGGTTTGTCTATAACTTTGTTCATAGACAAGATACAATTTTTATAATAGTATGATTTTGTAGTACTTGTTGAGTTCTATCATCTCCGATTCAGGTGGTCCGAACATATTTGATTCTAAAAGAAACTATGGCTACTTAGGAAGGCAGGTCTATGAACGATTTACAAGTATGCTTCAATGATTGGAAGGTCTTTGTGATATATGAATTTTGTGGAAGATCTGGTCTAAGAGACTGTAGTAGTTGGTTAATTCTTTGCAACGCGACGACAGGAGAACTGTCACAGTGCTGAAATGCCAGTTTACTAAAGTTGAGCGTCTCAACTCTCTGGCTATTTAGCCTATCCTCTTTTCATTTCGAGTTTCCTATTTCGACCCAATCCCGTTTCATTTGCTGCTTCTGTCAACGATTCTGGAATTTTTAGGCGATATCTTCTCTCCGATTAAATTTCTTCTTGATGTTCTCCGTTTGTTTTTCAAGTCTTTCAAACTTCATTATTCTTCACATGACATGACACGAAGGAGCCGAACCTCGGTACATTTTCCGGAAGTTTCAAGTGACATCTCCGTTTGTATTCATCTGACTGCCGTAGGGCAGCGCCTTCGAAACGGAGTCCGACTAAGCTTTTCTTCAACATTCTGTTCTGTTTTCAAGGTTTTCTCCTCTACCCAGTAATCATAATTTTGCGGTTCTCATGACATTCGCATTTTTCCATGACATTTCTCAGATCAGAAAAACAGAATTTCAGTATTTAAAAGAGAGATTACCTTCCACAGATATCACGAGCCCGACTCCATTTCTCTTGTCTCTAAAATATTGTTTCCTTATAAGATAAGCAGGTACCTGTTGTAGGAATTGACTTGAAAGATTCTGGTCTTGCAGGTGCCCAAAACCTGAGCAATTTGCTTGAACCATACAGTAGTCGTCTTTTTTAACCTTGCCCAAACGTTTCTCGCCCAATTGACGCCCAACCCTTGCCTGAAATTCCCTGAGTAGTTCCTATTCTAAAAAAAAACCTAGTTCTTTTTTATTTTTCTCAACCATTCCAGTCACAGGAAATAAGTACCCAAATCTCCAATTTCTTCTCTAAACTCTAATCTTCTTTATCCTTTTCTCTGTTGAAATATGCAGTGTCCTCTTTGCCACTCTTCTTTTTCGTCGTTTCTTTTTTTGTTTTTTTATGGTCCATTATTTCCTTCCTCACTCTCTTTTCTTCTTTTTCTTCTTGTGGAACTCTCGCCGTTCTCTTCTTCTTCTTCTTCTTCTTCTTTTTTTCTATTATCTTGCACGGCGGCGGCGACGGGACGCCAGCGTCTCATCGATCCTCGCGGAGGTGTGCTCCGGTTCTCTCTTCGTTTCTCCCAATGTTTCGTTGGTCTCTATCCGACCTGACTTTCCACTTTTAAAAGAAAAAACACACTTGCTCACATACACACACAGCACATAGTTGATTTAGAGTCAGTTGAAGAAGCAAAAAGAAGAAGAAGGAGAATCCAAAGAGAACGTCGTCTGCTCGAGTGCATTCTCTATTTTAACCAACATGCCGCTCAAGACGCCCTTTGGGCTCTTGCAAGAGGTGAGATCTAGGGTTATAGATACACCTGTAGATTAGGAACACTAAAGTCAGTTAGATTTATCTGGAACTCCATTTCCAATTACAGTATGAATGCAAGAGAGAGCATTTGCGTCTCTCCTTGTGGCTCTTCTTCCTTGCTTGTTCCGTGATGTTCCTGATCCGTCATCTGATGTTCATGTGGTTCCTTGTCTTGTTTTGCATCGTCAACGCTTACATCGCCCTCGGAATCTACTGGGGATCGGCTCGCAGTCTCTGGTGGACTCATAAGGCTCATGTAAGTTGAGACCTGGAGAAGTACCGTAGTGTAACTCTCTCCAGATCTTCTGTATCTCTCTTCTGGCTTCCCTCTGGATCACTCTTCCATACTACCTGGCCAATTACGAGTCCATGTTCCATCTCTGCATCTCGCCCGTTCCTGCCCACTGCGGAATTCATAATTTGAGACAACGCAAATGGCTTATGTACGTCTACTCAGGACTCTATTTCGTTGGAATTGGAATGATGGTCTTTGGTAAGAATTAGGATACACTACCACTGATTATAATCCATTGTTTCCAGCCGAAGCTTGTCGTCTCCGTATGACTACCTATCTACTCATCAAGGCTGAACGTTTCGAGGGACGTGCCACTATTGCCGAGGAAGGAATGATGAATGTGAACATCTCTGTTGGAACAATCGAGGAACAACCCAAGGAAAAGGACCCAAAGGATATCGTGATCGTTGCTTGACTCTGGAACCGGACCGCACACTCTTCTAATTACCGGACTGACTTCTGCCTTTTTAATCTCCCGAATTTCATTTTTGAATTTTTTTGCTTGTCCCAAGTTTTGTCATTTGTTTCCAACTCTTGACTTGTTAATAAAAAATTCTCATGTTATTCTGTGGTAATGGGGCTTTTCAGGACTACATTGAGAAAATATGACGGTTGTATATGGAGAGATGAGGGGCAGAAGAGATGTACTGAAATTGAGAAAAGGTGTCCTCGAATTTTCAAAAAAGCTCTGAAGTGTTCAGGTGCCATGCTAGAAAAAAAAATCTAGAGATGGGTTTCTTTCAGAATGTGGATAGCCCCTATTAAATGATTCATTTCCCAAGATCCAAGATAATTATGTCTAAAGATATACTCGTTTTATCTGTCCAGGTAACTGTAGTTGACAATGGCCAGCTCTGTATGCCTATGTGAATAATATAGTATCTTTTGATGAATAACATTGAAAAATGTATCAGGTCTACTAAACAAAAATTGAGTCTTTATTTCGTAGTCGACAACTTTTTGATACGAATTCATTAAATTGAGATACACCGCTCCAAAACATTGCAACTCTGAACCCAGTGTTATTCTTTTAAGTTTTGGCATAGATTTCATATCTCATTTAAATGAATTTGTACAACACATTGCCAACTACAAAACGAAGACTCTATTTTTGTTTAGTAGACCTGCAAATGTTTTCTCTCATTAAACGAAAGCTACTATATATATTTAAGACATTCAAAGTTTACTATTTACAACTAAAAATAGGCAAAATGAATCATTTTTTGGCCGGTACTGTATATGAGCTATACAAAGTTTGGAACCCCTTAAAAGCTTTATTCCTCCTTCAATAACTTTTACCATCTTTCCATGATCATCATCTCCTTACTCGAATCCTGAAACAATTCTTCTTGTCGATGTCACGTTTGAATGGAACCATGGCGTCTTTATGTTTTCGACCTCGAATCCAAGCACAAAATCGGCTGCCGACATCCTCGCCAACTTCAATTTTCTCATATTCCTATTATAAAAAAAACATTTTTACGAGCGACACAAAGTCGTAAATCTACAGTAGTCAAGTACTTTTTGCTTAGCAACCGGCGACAAACAAGCGCCCGTCGCTTTCTTCTTCCAAATCAAGAGCTTTTCATTCTGTTGGAATCTGCGAATTTGAGAATGGGTAGCGCTCTTTCTCGTTTCTTCGGATCGATGTTCTCGCTGGTAAGAATTCAATGGAAGATATAAAAAACCTGATGTTTTAATAGAGAGAAACTCCAACTGAAATTCGTCCGATGATTCTCTGGTTTGATGTTCATTTGATGGCCTCGTTCTCCTGCTTGATCCTCTTGGATCCGAGCGTTCAAGTTCGGGTCTACTTCATCTTCTACTTGGCCTTATTGACCCTTCCAGCAACGTTCATCGTTGCCTTTGGAAATGCTCACTGGATGAAGGCAGCGTTCTTCTGCCAGGTGAGTCTACAGAGTATATTTTGATGAACTCAATTTGTTTCCAGCTGATCCGATCCCTGTTCATTGCATTTCACAATATCACCTATCCGATCTTGGTTGCCTCCTGGACAGCAGTCGAGAACAGGCAAGCTTTCCAAGAAGCATCCAACGAGGAGATCATCTTCTCCTCTGCGGGCTACGGATTCTTGATCTTCTTATTGAGTACAGCAGCTTCCATCTGTTAGTTTTTCAACGTCTTCTGCTCGAACAAAATAATGGTTTTTCAGTCGAGCCAGCCAAACTCTATCACATATGTCATCTCCAACGGATGCTAGCTGAGGCTCCAGAGTTGGCCGACTCTGATGTCGAGATGGACGACGTGAATGACGACACAATCAGCGAGACAACTGATGTTTCTTCTTTCGTGGACCTTGGCCTCACTGGAAAGATGAACGTTGTCTAAATATTTTGTGATTGATTTGAATAAATCAAATTGTTAATAGCTCACTTTTATTAGTTTATGATATTGAAGAAAATTGTATTGGGGAAAGAAAGAAGATGGAGATAGGGAAGAGTTAGGGTGGCAAATTTTAATTACATATCTAGCGAGAAGCGAGGAAAATTATAATTGGTTTGTGGATTAGAAATTGGATAGGGTGTGTGCGTGACTAAAGGTTTGTAGGGGGAAATTTTGGGATTGGAGAAGATTATGACTTGGTTTCTATACATGAATTCGAGTTGAGAATACAATTAAGATTAACGAGAAGCATCCATCATCTAATAATTTCTTAGCTCCTGCTTAGTTGGAACATAAAGTCCTGAAAAAAAGAATAAAAGTTCTCAAAAACTTGAAAAACAAACTTTTCTTTCTGTCCGCTTTCTTCTTCGCAATCATCGCTTTAGTTAATGCGTCGACATTCCATATTCCTTGGTTTGTACGCCATGCTTTTGTCAAAATTCTGAAGTCAATCTCATGCTTCTTGTCTAACCAACTGTTGAGAGCTGTAATGTCTACTGTAAGTCTCGAATAACCACCGTAAGACCTGTATTAGAAGGGCCCTCTTAAAAATTTCCGTACGTTTTAGTGAAAAAATATGTTCGAAATTCCACAATTTCACAGAAAATGGTTGAAACACAACTTTTTTGTACAAAAATTTGCTCAATTTTGATAAAATTGTTCGATGTTCATGAATTTTGAACGAAAGTTGACCGAATTTTTCCATTAAAAACTTTGTATAAATGACCCGGAAAATAGAAGCGGTCTCTGTAATAGAATGGTCCTCCGAAGGACCGGAACTATATAAGAGCAATACAGGTTTTATGGTAATTATACTCACCAGCGCTCAAGCAGAACAACTCAAACAACGCCCACGATGCTCCAACCAGTATACATTTTCCTCGACTACTGATAAAAGGACAAATCACGTGTTGTAAAAAAATCCCATCGAGGAAAACCATGAGAAACTTTGCTTGCGACATCGTGTGCACCAATCTGGTATATTCCAAAATTGAGTAAGGGAACTCTTCGAACCAGATAATGTAGAACTCGAAGAAGCCAATACAAAGAACAAGGACATGAAGAATACCGATGAATAATATTATGCTGAGTAGGTTTGGTGTTAGGTGAATACAAAAACCATAAAGCCCAAGTTTGAATAAAGTGAACATTATGAAGATAATAGATTGGGCTTTGAACTCCCGTTGTTTCTCGTCGTCTTCTTCAGATTTCACATCTGGAGAAAGTGGTGGCGATAGGACATTGACGTTTAGAGTAAGACTATCGGGCTCATCGGAAACGCCAAAATTGCAAGAATTTTGACGAGAATCCTTTTCACAGTCGTTATTTGGTTCTTCTTCTTTTTCTTCTTCTCCATTTTCTTCAATCATCCCATCAACTACTCCTGAACACATTCAAAATTTAAAACTCAGGTTGTGAATGAATTCTTACTGTCTCTCTTCCTTTTCCCTCTTTCGATTTCCTTTATCCGTTCTTGTTCCGCTTTCTTGTGATAATCTTTCTCTCTTCCAAAAAAGTCTGAACTTGAAAATTGTCAATATTCCAAGTCTGAATTTCAGACACATCAAATACTCACCCTTTTCATGAACGTCAAAATAATCAATTTCTTCTTTCTTATCGTATGGAAGTCTAGCCGAAACTTCCAGTTCAAATATCTTTTTCGGGTACACCATATATATGAATATAGGAGAGAATGAATTTGTGCTTCTTCTGTTCTATTCGAGGAGGAGAGTCACTCTCTTCTGGATACTCAATTAGACACCACACCTTCCTTCCTTCTCGTTTCGTCGTTTGTTTTGACACAAACGGCAGAAGTCAGGTGAGTATGAGAAAGCGAGAAGTTACGGAAAAGAGAGCTCATTAATCGTAGTCTGTGGAATTGCCGAGCTTCTGGGCAAAGCTACAAACTTGATAAATCTTGACTGGGTACCTTGAATTTCTCATGAAACTTCAGGACTCAAATTTTTGAACTTGGCGCTTCTTTTTGGATTTCTGAAGGCAAATTGAACAAACCGTTCCAGCCTGAGCCAATAATTTTAATCAAAAAAGCAAATGATTCTGAAAAATCTTCAATTGAGTAACGCTGTAACTATCAAAATCAGTGATCATCTCATTTTTTACTGATACTTTTCCAGGTTTCCTCTTTTTTGTTTTATTTAGTTTAGGCTGAAACGCCTTCTTATTTTCTGTAAGAATATCAAGACAAATGGAGCCAAATTCAAAAATTCAGGTGCATCTCTTCCAGCAAACATAGCTCCTTTAGAATTGACTTGTCTCCTGGTTGTCCTCTTCCAGCTTCTGGATGAATCATAACTTTTGCCTCTTTCATTTCACTTGTTCTCAGCTGTTTCATTTTGTTTACATAACAGTTTGTGTTCCAATCAAGAAAATGAAACGGTTTAACAGTGTGACAATTTTATTGCAAAAACAAAAAATTCCTGGAAATTTCCCGAAGAAGAAGTTTAAAAAAATAGAAAGATGATAGAGTCGGGAGTCGAGTGGGAAGAATGGTGACGGTTTTTAGTGATGCTCGTTGGTTGGGCAACATAAATCATATATTTCGGAATCAGTGAGTCCCTGAGCACAATACTTGGTGATTGGGAACTCTGAAAAAAATTGATTAGACCGGAGTTGACCAGATTGCTGAACTCTCACCTCCAGTTAAACACAAGTTTCCATCGGCGTCTGTTGGGCAGATGCTCTGAATATGCTCGAGCGCTCTTCTTCCGCACTTGGATTGAACGTGATTGTCGGAATGAACGGGAGCTAGTTGGAGGCTGATGAGAGCGAGAAGGGTGAAGAACCAGAGATTCATATTGAAAGAATTCGCTGAATAACCTTTCACCAGGGGATCTCCATTTTATAGAACAAAAAGAGGCGGAGTTCCAGATATTAAACATCGGTGACTCCGCCCAGTTATAACAAGACTGAATGCTATGTAGAAAAATTAGCTAATCTGACGGATTAGAATGTTTGAAAGAACATCAGATGCTAAATGCAAATGTCACCAGAAAATAATAATAAATCTGAAAGGGATACCTATGTTATTTTTGTAATCCAAGATATTCCTATGATCTTTCTCATCTCTCGACAAACCTGATAAACAAGTATGCTCTCAGCTGTGAATCATAGCAGACGGCTAACAGACACACCTTGACTTTCAGCCCATTTCACAATATTGTCTGTGGGTCAGGAATTCTAGATGGTGGGAATCGAATCAGTAAACAATTTAGAAGATCATGCTAGAGACGGTTTTTATTCTTGAAGGATAATCTCGGGCGTCGCCGGCAACTTCTGGCTGGAGGCTGGTCGGCTTCAGGACGGAACTTGGTCAGATTCCGGCAGAGACATTGTGGGAAGCCGACCAAGATCCGACAAACTACCGGCCAACTTCCGGCCTCCTAACAGCAGGGGCCGGTTCGGTTCGCGTTTATTGAAGTTTTTATAGAGAAACAGCGCATTATGTAAAATTTTATTTATTAAAAAAAGAATTATACATGAAAATGAACAAAATTAGGGAAAAAAATACAGAAAAATAAGAAAATCATGATTTATATTTTTAAATTTTGAAGATGTCGCTGTGAATCGTGACGAATACGGGAGAAGAAACTCTGCCTGAAATGTGAATAAAATTAGAAATGAATTCAGAAAATAGGAATTTACCTGATTAACTTTCTTGTCTTTCTTCGAATTTTCTAGCATCCAGCTATTTCTTTGATTCCTGGAAACAATACTTCCAAAAATACAGTTTTTTTTCAACAAAAATTACCTTCTAGTTGCGATATCTCCCAAGCACTTGACATTAAAAATGTTGACTTGTATTTTATTTATCTGAAAAATTTAAATTATGACAAAAATTCAAAGAATAAATTACCTGATAAGTTTCGTACTCTTTTTTTCGAGAACATCATCTGTTATTGTCTCCGAAGTACTTGTCTGGAAAAAATGCTCCAAAAATTGAAAGGATACAACTTTAAAACAAAGTTTTTAGGGAAACGGCAAGAAAAATAGTTTAGAAAACAAATTTACAATGAGTGAAGCACGCGCCGCATAACACGCAGCACCTTCAAATTCCGGCCAAAATCCGATCATTGTCCGTCCCACTGCTGCGGTGAGCAGCTTCTGACCAAAAGCTGACCAAGATCTGTCCAAAAGCCGATCCGCCTCAACTTCCGGCCAGAAGTTGCAAGCCGACAGCCGAGATACCATGAATTTTGAAACGTTGTTGGCTCTGTTCCAGTTGGAAGAATCTGAAAAAAAAGTTAGAGGTCGCAGTAGAAAGGATCCAAAATTGATGATTTAAAAAATTGTATTTTTCGAGTTTTAGAACGAATTTGAGGGATGAGCAAAAAGACAAAACTTATATTGGTTTTTTTAGAACATTTGGATAGATTTTTGGATAGATAGATTTCGAAAAATCATAACTTTGTACAGATTAAAGAAACATAATTTTATCAATTTATGCTTATTGAACAACGTATGGGCTACAAAAAACGGAATTACAGACTTGTTCTATTATAAATACTTTTGAGAAGAAATTAACTAGGATGTAACAGTTTCCGGAAATCAGATAATTCCAACTTCCGCCGAAAACCTACTTGGAATACTGTCTATTCAACTCAGGACAACTCAAGACACAATTTTTTTCTCAGGACACAATTATCCTCTTGAATACCGTTTTCAAGTCTGCTTAAGAGACCTCTAACAAAATGCTGAAATTTCAGTTCAGTACCAAAAAATCACATTTTCAGTGTAAAATCGGTTCAAATTCGATTTTTCCCACTCCTAGGAAGTTTTAGAAATTGAAACGTTTTGTGTTATACTTGAAATCATGTAGAACTTCATATTTCAACATTTTTCTCAAAAATTTGTTTTGGAAAAGCTTTGGAAAGTTTCAAAATTTGCCTACATTTTGGGTGGGCCCAAGTTTTCAATTTTTATGATTATTTTGAGAAAAATGTTTGAATGAAAGATAGCAAAAAAGAGAGTTCTTTGAATAAGAGATTTCCTTCCTTTTGTTGAAATAAATCACATTGAATTAAATATATAATTCCGCTTGATTTTAAGTATAACAAAAATGTTTCGAGCTTTCAAAACCCCTGGAGTGGATATCGAATTTGAAATTTGGAAATCGAATTTAAATTTTTAAACGATTTTGACGGTTTTGATAGACGCTCTTTCATCCTGTACACTTGGTTTGGTCCAACTATCCGGACAACTTAAAATGTTCCCTTGTTAGAAAAGTTTCGAAATTTCGTTATGTATCTTGAACATGTTTTGGATTTCATTTTTGTAAATCTTCCGATGGACATGATTCCAGATATTGATATTGAAGATCACACATGTATTCCAAGCTATTATACTTTTCCAATCCGGGATTAATGTCATGAGATTTCTCATAGTCGGCATTCTATATTCTGTATGGTTACGTGCCAAAGAAGCCATATAGGTTGGCGCCGGATTGTGTTTCATTTTTGTGGCGCTGACATTCTGGTTATTTTGGCGAGCGCCATCGACATTTGTTGACGACGATTATCGATTTATTAAACCCAACCAATTAACCCAAGTAAATATGAAATTGGATGAAAGGATTCCTTCGTTGATAAGTGCACAGATAAGCTTTCTACGTCGGGTTACTTGATTAACTACAGAAACTCTATTTGATGGAAAAGAAAGAGATGAACACCGATTCTAGGTGGTTTTCGGTTTTTGGGCTCCATTTTTTTAAAAAACTAATTTTTGTTCATTGTTTCATTTTCAGAGATGCTGAACATATACGAATACTGCAAAATGGGATACTCGGATTCTCAAGTCAAATACATCTGTTGTCCAGAATAATCACTCCCTTCTGAATCTCTATATTTTCGCGAATAAACACGTTCTATTCAAACTTTCGTATTCAAAGACAAACTTTCGATTTTTCTGA